ACTGGAATGTTGCCACTCAGGGGCCACCCAGCCAGACCTAGTGCTATTCCTTGCCAGCGTGAATCGTAACTTCCCTTTTTTTTTTTTTTCCTTTCGTGAGACAGGGTACACTATGCAGTTCAGGCTGGCCTTGAACTCACTTTGCAGCCCAGACTGGCCTTTGGCCTTAATGTTGTAGAGATCCTCCTGCCTCAGCCTCCTGAGTGCTGGAGCTGGGATTACAGGCATGCACCACTGTGCCCGGCCTGTAACTTCCTTCTGTAGACCAGTTTATTGGCCATTACCTCTCCTAAAATAGGCCAAGTGAGAATAGAGAACAGAAGAGGGAGGCTTGCCTCTGTCTCGGTCGTGATCCTGTCTTCAGGGCCAGCTATTGAGCACAGGCTAAGAGATGGCCGAGGAATCAGAGGGCTTCGTGTTGGCCAGTGATTTAGGACTCCTCCTTCCTTGTCTCTGGGATGCACGACACCGGCAGGCCGTCCAGGTGGATGCCACAGTTCTGCGCGTCCCCAACATTGAGTGCCCGTGTATAGTGTGCTCGAGCCCTGGGCCCCTGCCTGGGTTGCAGCCTTAAAGACCCTGGTGAGGATGAAGCCTCCCATCTAAGCCCAGGCCTCTTAAGAAGCAAGGGTGAATCCGTGCCTCCCACCCCCACCAAGAAAACCCAGCTGGCGGTGACAAGGGTGAGAGCAGTGATAATAGATCCTATTTCAGGAGTGTGTATCTGGGACGTGCCAGGCACACGCCGCGTGTACATGTGTAGCACTCTGTGGGTTCTCCAGCGTATTCATTTCCGGTGGTTACTGTAACACGTTTCCACAATCCGGACAGCTTAGACACAAGGTGAACTTACGCTTAAGATGCCAGAGGTCAGCGTCTGAAGTGAAGGCGTTGGCAGCGTGAGGTCTTCCTAGAGGCTATGAGGGAGGGAGGTCCACGCTGAGCTCTGCTAGCTTCTTGGTGCTGGTGGTCTGCTGTGTTCCTTGGCTTGCTGATCCCTGCGTCGCTGCAGTCTCTGCCTCCATGTTCACGTGCTCTTCTCTCCCTCCCTCCCTCTCCCTTCCCCCAGACACGCACAGTGTCATCTCAGATCCATACTTTAATCACGTCACGTGTCTCCCATATAAGGTCACATTCCCAGCTTCTGAGTGTCAGGCCTTGCACGCATCTCCTCAGAGACTCCTGTCCCCCCACGGCAGGCCTTGAGGGGTTTGTCTGAGGCCACACCGTCCGTATCTGATGGAGACAGGGTCTGCCCTGACAGGTTTAATGCCGGGCCATTTCATGCTGGGCTTTTCCGAGCTTTTAACAACTAATATGCATTGTTAATCTCTAGGAGTGTAGTTAGCATGAAGCTGTTTGAAAAAAAAATTTTCCTAGAACCAGTTAGCAGTTTCCTCAGTACTAATATTTCTTTGAATGTGATTAAGGCAATGTTGGGGTAGATACTTAAGAATTGTATTGTTTTTGTTTTGTTTTTTTGAGACACGGTCTCGCTATGCAGTTCAGGCTGATCTTGAGCTCACTTTGTAGCCCAGCCCAGTCTCGAGCTTGCAATGATCCTCCTGCCTTAGCCTCCCAAGTACTGGGATTACAGGCGTGTGCCACTGTGCCCGGCTAAAAATTGTATTTAAACGTTCATTTCAATTATGAAAAGTTCTATAACACAGCAAGGCTTACAATTAAAAAGTATCCTCTTCCAAAGAACATACACAAGATAGCTAGGATAATTGTACTGCTGATTTCTGTTAGTTCATTGAAAGGAACAGTTAGTGTTTGTATTGTTTGACCAATCTTACAGGCCTATATCTTGTGGTCTGATCAACTACTTTGAAGATAACAGTATGCCATATAATAACCATTGTTAATTTCCTATCATGTCTTAAAATTCTGTCTCATTTTTATTGTTTTTTAAAATTATTCTCTTTAAAATGAAAAAAAAGAAAAAATTAAAAAGCGATGTGGGGGAGTATCGTCTTCTCAGTTCAAGCTTACTCTCCAGAAACCAACATTTCTCTTTCTGGTTTTAGTTGCCCTGGTGGTTCCTCCCATAAAAGAACTGTATTATTTTATTGCCATTCCTTAATTTACCAGATTTCTTGTGTTATTCCCCTGCCATGAAATTTAAGGGTTTGCCTCACTTCTACCCCATCCCGCTTCCCTTTGAATTGATTAATGTTGTATTTCATTACCTTTGTTGCTCTTAGCCTATTTCTCTTGGTTATTTGCTTTGATTACACACTAGTCTTTCTACCTTTCCCTAAAATCTGCAGAGTCCCAAGGGCTCTGTCTGTGTGATTGGTTGATTCATTTTGAGACAGGGTCTCACTATGCAGTTCAGGCTTGCAATGACCTTCCCTCCGCCTCCCAGGGGCGGGTGGTTGATTCATTTTGAGACAGGGTCTCACTATGCAGTTCAGGCTTGCAATGACCTTCCCTCCGCCTCCCAGGGGCGGGATTGCAGACATGCGGCACCACACCCAGCTTGTGAGATTGCTGTTGAACCCTGACATCTTGTGTTAAAATTTTCATGAGCAGGACTCATAAAGTCTGTGTCTGTGTGCCGGGGCTTGTGCTGGATTCCATTCCCTTCTGCCACCTCATGGTGGTGTGCAGGATAGATACTGTGGCATGAAAGCCTCTCCAACAGAGCTTGGCTTGGAGCTCTTTGTTGACTGCACATAATCACCTGCCACTGTAGTTTGCTTCTAATTTGGACCTCAGTTTGTTTGTGTCTTTATTTTTTCCTGGAGTTTCTTATTGCCTGTTTTTTTATTTTTCAAACAAAGAATAATCATGTGCTTTCCCATGTCCTGAAGCTCATCCAGCCTCAATTGTACCCTATGGTGCACAGAGCCACTGTCCTCCTGGAATTTTATCCTTGTGAGGTGAGGCCTGATCACTCGTCCAGTGGTCTTCTAGGCTTTTGCCTTGCCCTTGACTTAGGATTTCTCCTTTCTTTTTTCCTTCCTTCCTTCCTTCCTTCCTTCCTTCCTTCCTTCCTTTCTTCCTTCCTTCTGAGTCAGAATCTCACTATGTAGTGCAGACAGACCTCAAACACTCGGATGATCCTCCTGTCTCAATCTCTTGGGTGCTAGGATTACAGCCATGCGCCACCACGCCTGGCCTCCCTTCACTTTTCACCCGTGGTCTGGCTTCACAGTTTTCTCTCCTTCCTTTTTTTTTTTTTAAACTGGAATATGAAGTGTAAACAGAGATGTCCCTGTTGCCCTGCCTTCAAGCGTACAGTGTGGGTTAGGAGAAGTCTGGTACCTGCCCCAGACTTGATCCCTCACGGATAACCTGGTGTTTGTTTCTCTTCTCCTTCTCTGTGAAGTTTTAGGACCACTGGTTTTACTCTGTGTTCTATCTTGGCAGAAATTCCTGCATCAGGGCCCACCTTTTCTTACCCTGACCCTGTTAGTCTGTTTTTATTTTAGCTTTGTTTTGTGTCTTAATTTTTACCCTGATACTCTTCTGTTATTTCTTTGGTAAGTTCTTATACTGTGCTTCATTTTGTCTGCTTTCTTACTCTGTACTTCCTGTTAGATGTTGGACTCCCTGGATTAATTCCCTATGGTTTTCAACTTTTGGCCTTTCCTTTCTGTTAACTGTCAAACAGATTTAGGAAATAATATGGTTATGTAGGGTTTGAAGCCCTACTGCCACCTGTACCTTTCCCGCAATGGCAGGAATTAATGAGGACACCAAGTACAGTCACATATGACTCGCTGCTTCAGCAAGAGGGGACAGAATACTGCAACATTCACATAGTTCCTAGAACTTTACGGGGAGTTCTATTTTCTGGAATATTTCCTTGCATATATTTGCAACTTTTTAAATGTAGCTTTCGTTTGGGCCGTGATATTTTCATTTTCTAAACGCTATTTTTTATTCCTCTCAACTTCCTCCTGTTTGTTTGCTTTATGCATCAGATTGCGTCTCAGACTCCCCGAGGACACTCCTTAGAATTGTTAGGTTAACATTCTCTCCCCGGTTCCACTCCTCTTCTCTGGAGTTGGTGGTTTTGTTGCTCTTTGTTTTCCCATGTGTGTTGCTGATTCTCCTTTGCCATCTGGCCATCCTTGAATGTCTGTTGGTGTTTGAGCTGGCTGTCTTTAAGGTAGATGGCATAGCTGGGCCACCCAGAAGGACTGGCAGTGTGCTTTAGGGGACCGTGTAGGAGGTGGAGGAAGACCGGGTAGGAAGGGGGCTACACGGCCACTGCTAGGAAGGCTGCCTTCTGGGGTGTCACCACCCCCACCGGTTCTCCTTGAGCAGTTGACTGCATTTTTTTATGGTTCAGAATTTGCCTGGGTGAATGCTAGTCTCCCCCGGGCCAGAAGGCGGAGGCGGGTCCTTTCAGTAGCGGCCCTTACCTCCCGTGCCTTCCGTGTTCTGCCTCCTCTCTTGGTCCCTGAGGGTTTCCAAGGCCAGCATCAGTGCCTGTCGCCATGCTGGGGTCTGTTGGAGCCTGGCGTGGTCCCCTCAGCTGGCCGTGTGGCTGCCCATGTTGGGGCTCCAGTTGAAGAGGAGCGGCAGGCTGGTGTGCTGTCCAGTCTCAGGCGCTGGAAATGTCTCATGTTACACACACACACCCCGAGTTACAGACCAGAGAGCCTGAGGTCAGGACTCTGGCAGGGCGCAGGTGGGGATTTGTCTGACTCCCTCCAGGGGTCTAGGCAGCACGCTGGGCGGACCCACCCCCTGGCCCCTGCGGCCTCACCTGGGTCCTGGGAGCTGTCACCTGCTTCCACGTTGGGGTGTGCAGGAGGCCAGGGCCCACCTCACCCCTGCCCTGATGGATTTGCTGAAGGAGATGGCAGAGAGGGGTGTGGGTGTGCGGGCTGAGAAGTGGGGTGGCTGAGGGATGCAGGTAGGGTAGGGGCCTTCCTGGGATGGTGCGCAGGTGTCCGAGGGAGGGAGGGGCCAGACCCAGCAGGCCTGGGGGCCCTGGGCAGTGCCGGGACCGATGCTGACCCTGTCCCCTGTCCCCGCAGGTGAGCGGCCCTTCGCCTGCAGCTGGCAGGAGTGTAACAAGAAGTTCGCGCGCTCGGACGAGCTGGCGCGGCACTACCGCACGCACACGGGCGAGAAGAAGTTCAGCTGCCCCATCTGCGAGAAGCGCTTCATGCGCAGCGACCACCTGACGAAGCACGCGCGGCGCCACGCCAACTTCCACCCCGGCATGCTGCAGCGGCGCAGCGGGGGCTCGCGGACCGGCTCGCTCAGCGACTACAGCCGCTCCGACGCCAGCAGCCCGACCATCAGCCCGGCCAGCTCGCCTTGAGCGGCCGGCGCCCGGGACCGGGACCCTGCCCGACCACAGCCATGAGCAGCCGCTCTTCCTCCTCTGTCCTCCTCCGCCTCGCGTCAGTCCCCGCCCTTCCTTTTGTACTAAAAAAGCAGAGTGAGAACTTGGTGAAAAGTCCATGAAAAAACACTTTTCTTCACCTCAGGTGTCAATGTCAGTTTGTAAAAAAAAAAAAAAAAAAAAAATCAAAAAAACCCCCCACCGTCCACAAATTGCACAAATAGTGATACCCACGAAGTCGAGATACAGTGGTGTTGAACCCCTTACTCAGGGATGGACATGTTCCACGAGGTCAGCGAGGGCACCCCTTCCTGCCGCCTTACTCTGTACATAGATTTGCACTCTGGAGTTTTCCACCGGGTTTGGGGACACACCGGGACAGAGCAGGCTGACCAGTGTCCTGTCCTGGGTCGGTCGCTGGCCTCTGGGAGCAGACGTGGTTACTGACGCAGGTGGCAAGGCCTGGTCTCCTTCCCACCTCCAGGCCTCCGTCCTTGCCCCATGAGCCTGGCTCAGGACACACACAGGCCTGAGGGACAGGCCACCTCTGAGGGATGCCTTAAGCCACGACTCGACCTGGAGGACTGTGGAGAGAGGCCCCGGCCTCGCCTGACTGGCCTCGCTGTCTCGCTCCCGGCCGCCACAGGTCCTCTCCCCAGGCCTTGGGGAACCGGAAACAGACCATTGCTCCCTAAGACCTGCGAGAGGCAGAGCCTGGGTGCCACCCACCCAGGCCCCCTTCGTGGTGGTTCCGTACTTTCTGACTGGAAAATCAGGCCTGGGAATTGTGGTCTTTGCAAAGATTTTGGAAGGTGTTGGCGTGTGCACTTCTGGTCTCTCCCACGCGCTGTGGCTGTGGAGGTCCCTCTGTGAAGCCATGGGCGAGGCCGTTACGCTGTCTCGCCAGTCCGGCAGCACTTCTCAGAGACCGCTCGGGAGGCACAGGCCAGAACTTGTGACTGTCCTTTTTCAGGAGTGGTGCAGCGCTGTGGTGGAAAGTGCGGTGGAGAGTGTGTGTTCTGTTTCCTCCTCAGAGAACTCCGGCCGGAAAGTTGTGGAGAACGCTTTTCTCAGACCCTCAGTGACCCCAGTGTGGACTTAGCAAACCTCCACCTTCTCGCTGTCGCCTGGATCACTCCTCCCTGTCCCTCCGGCTTCTGCCCACCCCGCCTGGGAGCCCCTCTCCTGGGAGGAGAGGAGAAGCAGAGAGCTGGGGCACATGGCCTGGAGTCCCGGCCAGGGCTGGGCTGAGGTCAAACCAGGGCAGTGAGGCCGAGCTCCCGTAAGCTCCACGGACCCTGGAGTGTCCGCCCCAGCGCCTCGCGGCCCAGGCACTGCCTTCCATTCCTCCAGAGAGTCAAGGCCTGCAAACGCAAGGCCACAGAACTGCGTGTGTGTGTGTGTGTGTGTGTGTGTGTGTGTGTGTGTACACGCATGCGTTATAGAGAAGGACTGGGTGTCTTGCAGAGACCTCTCACTTAGATGAGGAGGAACGACCCTTGGGACTCAGAGGGCCATAGATGGGCTTCCTGGGTCCAGAGTGCCTTGGTTGTAGCCATTCCACTTCCACCCCCATCACTCACACGATGTGGGGTGCTGCGCAGAAAAACCTGGGGATCCACACCCAGCCAGGGCTGGTAGCCGTGGCTGCTGGGTGGAGCCAGCTCCAGAAGATGGGCCATCTGTCTGCAGCCGCTGCGCAGGTGGCAGTGTGCCATCTGTGGCACCCTCGGTACCCATCGTAACTACTGTGTCAGCTGGGAATGGCTAATGTAATGTCGTGATTGCTGAGTTGCAGAGTGGTGGGTACTGAGTGAGGCTGTGGCATTATTCTGCTGTGGGTGGGACGGGTGGGGCGGGGCGATCCGGCTGGATGCAGAGCTGGCTGCCCTGGTGCTGTGGGGCACGGTGGCAGCCCAGCTTGCATTTAGTCTGGGAGAGAGAGTGGAATATGTGGTGGGGACCGTGAGTGGAGAGAGCCCTGGGTGCTTGGGGTGTGACAGCTTCATGCCCAGTTCCAAAGTGAGGTCCCTCCAAAGCTGTTTCTGTGTGAGGCAGGGAAGGCCGCACTCTGAACACATTTCACGTCTCAGGAATTTACATTCCAGGTTCAGGAATTTTATTCCAAAGTCCTTTGGTGCACCCACATCTATGGTTCTGAAGGCAGCAGAGGGAGCCAGCAGTGCTCGTCGCAGGAGCCAGGCGTCTGCTGTGATCTGCCCACAGCGTCACAGAAGGAGGTTTTCAGCTCCACGTAGGAAGCGGGGAAAAGGACTCTAAACCCATTCACCTTGGAATAAAAGAAAGAGCTGGTTTGTTTTAGAGTGGGGTGGGGGGTGGGGGAGGGCAGGTGGGCGTAGGCTGTTTCCAAAGAAAGCACTTAATTTAATTTTTCCTCGAAACGACCCAGGGCTGTTCCGTCTGATAGATGGAAGGGTAACGTTGCCTTAAAACAGAAATATGCAGGCGCCGGCTGCTTTTGGCAGATGAGTGTGTCTTCACTCCCAGGGCAGTTCTCCTTAATGGCAGGGTGCGGTCCTCCAGCCTCGTCTGGCTGGGAAATGGGGACAGGGCACCTGGAGGGAATCCCCCGGGAGCCCCGCTGCACCCTCCAGGATCATCTGAGGTTTAAATTCATCTCATCACGGGGTGGGGGTGGGGGGACCCAGGAATCTCAGGCTCAGTTCTAAAGGGTTCTCGCGGCAGGGTTCCATCTCATCGTGAAAGGAGGGTTGCCTGCTGAGATGCAGTGTCTTCCCAGCCTGGGTCTGCCGCAGAGGCTTTCGTTGTTGTGGTTTATGGCCAGGCTTGCTGGTTTCAGTCTAATAGGTGGAAGTGGGATTAAGGAACCCAAGGGGCTCCTGGAAATCATAGTGAAAAGTCAAACCTATGTTTGGGGGCAGACTTTAATTCTAATGGGCCGAGGAGGCAGAAATCTCAAAATGGAAGGTGCCTAAGTGGAGGGAGAGAGCCACTGCAAAGGTTCAGGAGTGATTCTGGACCAGCCATCGAGGGGCTGGTGTCCCAGACCATAAAACCCCTCTTAGTGTCAGCCATATTAGGGGAGCAGTTGTCAACCCCCAAATGCCTCCTGAGTCCCGCAGCCATACAGAAACATAGAGGGTGCTGGGGTCCCCTCCTGACGGGTGCTACGCAGTGATGGGTAGGGAACGTGGTGCTGGAGGTGCCCGAGCTGCACCCCGCCACACCTCCCATCCACAAGACTTGAGGTACAAGATCCCCATCCCACCCTACAAGTCCCCGTGCGGCCCTGCTCGGGGGCGGGGGCGGGACTTGCCGCGGTGCAGCCTCTCGGTGCGAACATCTAAACCCTGGTGACCCCAGGCCTCACCGTGCCCTGGACGATGGCTCAGACCAGTGACAAGTGGCTCGGGGTGGGGACCAGCACGGAGGGCTGATGGCTGACTGGTCCCAGGGGAGGCGTGGCAGAGCCACCGTCTCCGTGAAGACTTCTGCCTCCCAGCCCGGTGTGTCCGGGAGACCCAGCCTCTTTCTTGCCAGAAGCAGGTGCTAAGATGGACTGCGCAGGGTAGTCCCACTTCCTGGGACCTCACCCGGGGTCTCTGCGGGGCAGGGAGCCGCCCACTAGGCAGACGGGATCTGAGCAGCAGCGTGGCCTCGTCCCTCAGCTCCTGCTTGTGGCTTTGTTTACAAGGCAACCTGATTATTTTAACTTCCGACAGGTGTCACTGAATTTTTTTAACCCATTTTTAAAAGGTCATCCAGTCAAAGGCACAGTGCTGGAAGGTTTCAAGGTTTGAAGTGTTGGTCACGTCACGGTCAGCAAGAAATGCTTTGTAGGTTACCTACATCTTTTGCTGCCCAGTTTTTCCACATGTGGTGACCCTGTCTTCCAAAGCTAAAATCCAGATGTGGGCTGACGGGTTTTGAGATCTGGATGGCCCCAGGAAGGTCCAAATCCTCTGACTAACTTTCCTGATTCGGAAGATTTCCAGGGTTCGTCCTGGACACATTCCAGAGAATTTTGTACCAGAATTTGGACGCACAATCCAGCTTACTACTGAGTAATGCCTGAGCACCATTGAGGGAGCGGCCCTCCCTTCTGCTGGCCACCCCGGCCCTCGTCCCTCGGAAGAGTGGAATCGCGAGCTCCCAGTCACCACGGGAGAGGGAGGCTGCCCTTGGTTTCTGCTGACCCCTGCTGAGCTGCTGGACTTCAGCGCAGCCCCCTGGTCCTGCCCAGCCTCTTCTGTTCTCATGCAGCTTTAAAACTTTACTACTTTTGTTTAAAACTAAAGAGGACGGGAGAGAAGCAGCCCCCGCGTGTGTTGCCCATTGGTGGGGCATGCTCCTGTGCAGCTCCTCAGGGGCTCTGGAGCCCTGGTCCCCTGATGTCTTCCTCAGGGACCTGTTGATAAGCTGCCAGCCGTGCGCATTTGGAAGCCTCGTGCGTGAGCTGAATGTGTTCAAGAAGGCCACCGCAGGTCAGGTGGTCCATCCTGAATAGCCCACGGCCTGTACTTGGAGGATTCCTCCCCAGGGTTGCCAGACACCCCCCAAAGGAGAAGGTGGCCGCTTTCCGGTGTGGTTTAGATACTGCGGGGCGTCCTGACCCTGGGGCCTCTTCCTGCCTGCTTCTGGGTAGGAGACTGTTACCCGCCCTCCCCCCGGAGAGACTTGCAGGTCCACAGTGCTAGGGCCTCATCAGCCCGCAGGGGCAGCAGCAGGCTCTGCTGGGTGATAGTGCGTTGTCTGGTTCAGGGCTTGCAGCAGCGCTGGGGTTTTGCGTTGTGGTTGTGTTGGTTTCGCCCAGGCAACCCCTCCCCGTCCAGACCCACTGGTGGGGCCTATCTGGAATCCTTTGCCAAAATCCCAAGGCAGAATCCAAGGGTCCACGACCATTTCCATCGAGTTCACGTTTTCCTTCTCTGTAGGAACTTCTTTCTTTTCTTTTTAACCAGCTCCCCACCATGCTTCCAGAGGCCACGTTCCATCTTTCCTGGATCACTACAGTGAAGTATTACAGTTGTACAGTTCCCAATCTGGCCTTGGCTTGCTGAGAGAAAACTTTGTATGTATTTTGTAAGGCATAGATTCTATATTGTAATGATGTCCTATGCAAAAAGAAAAAAAATTAATGAAATTGTAAATTTTATTGTTTTAACATGTATGCATGTTTAGTGACGTTTACATTTGGAAATAAAGTTTATGATTCATTATTTTACTTGCCAGAGCTGGTTCTTGGAAAGGCGTGTCCTGCGGAGAGGCTCTGGGAGGGGAAGGAGCTGAGACGGAAGTGAAGCTCAGCGTGGAGTTCGCCCAGAGGCGCAGACTCCCACCCGGGACTCGACGGGTCTCATCCAGGAAGGCTGGCAGTGAAGCTGAGGGCACAGGGCTGGGGGCGGGCCGTCTCCTGACCCCTCCTGCCTGCGGAGCCCATCTCAGCTCTTCACGTTCCCAGGACACGGGCAGGGGGAGGTGGAGACCACAGGTCCGCCCGGGGAACAGAGCACGCGGCCAGTCCCCTTCGTCAGTCGCCTCTGCCGCTCTAGCAAGCACCTGAGATCGCCAGCCTGTGAGGAAAAAAGGCTGGTTCTCTGCTCACAGCCTCGGAGGTTCCAGTGCCTCGCAAGTTGCTGCTGCTCTGGCCCGCATCGAGGCGGCACATCATGGAGAGAGGAGCAGGGTAGAGCCGTTCATCTCATGGCTGCAGTGAAAAAGCAGAGGAGGACTGGGTCCCTCTGTCCTGTTCCAGGCAACCCCCCACCCAGACATGCCTCCCCCCTCACCTCTTACAGGGCGCCCACCTCCGTAGCAGCAGGGAGCAAGCCTTTACCGCAGGAACCTTTGGGGTGCACCTCCACCTGACACTGTGGCAATGCCCAGAAGCACCCGCCCTTCCAAAGCCCTGCTCAGATAGAAAATGCCCATCTTTACCAACTGAAGCGGCTGCAGTTTTCCCCAGACTCTGACTCCGCAGTGCAGCCGCTATTCTGCCTTCTTGCTCAGGCGCTTCTCGACAGCAGCAGCCACAGGTTGGGTCCACTGGCGTAGTGTGCAGGGAGGTGTGAGAAATACTAACAGGAAATAAACAGCATCCTGTCAGTCATGACGTCCTTGCCGAGATTTGGAAGGGGCTGAGTTCCTGCTGGGGTTCCTTTCCGGGAGACTGAGGGCCCAGCGCTCGTGGGCCCCCAACCTCAGGAACTGGGGGGCTCCTGAGACCTCAAGGAGTCCCCGTACTGCAGGAGGAAGAAGACACTTCAGCAAACAATGGGCTTTCCCAGTGTTTGTAAACGGATTGATCAGTGTGTCTGCATGCCAGAGAGCCCGTTTTCTCCCCATTGTCCTGTGCACAAGGTGAAGAAAGGCGGGCAGAGTAATACAGCAGTTCAAGGAGAGGTCTGTGGCTGGTGGGACGCCTGGGACCCGCCTGAGTAGTCTGCTTCAGAGAGGCCCTGGGCCTAACGCCCTCTGCACTTTTCCCAGGACTTGGGTGAAACGTGTGGTCAGTCCTTGCTGTGCTGCAGCTGGCTGTGCACCAGCCTGGCGAGGGGTGGCGTCTGGTGGAGGGAGGCAGGCTCCTGGCATCCCAGAGGGCAGAGCCTGGCGAGCCTCACGCGCTGTGCCCGCCTCCCTAAGGAGGGATTTCGCTTTGTCCTGGCCCATTTGCTGCAGTCAGTGACGCGGTAGCACACACTGCACGGGTTAGAAAGGGAAGGTTTGCTGAGAGGCCTCGTCTGTTGGTGGCCTTGCATGGGGCACGGGAGGCAGCAGAGGGCACCGCATGGTGGGAGGCGGGAACGTGTGTGTGTGTGCATGCACACGTGTATCGCTTCTGAAGGTGCCAGTGTTCGGTCATGGAGGCGCCAGCCTTGTGACTCCAGCCCAGGCCCATCAGCCCCACCTCTGAACACTACTCGGGTCAGATTCCCACCTCCTACTACCTCCCAGTGGGGATGACCCTTCAACATGCGTTTCTGGAAGGACAAACCGTATTCAAACCTGATGAGATATTTTTACAGGATTTTTTTTTTCAGGCCTGGAGATGGAACTAGGGCTTCATGCAAGCTCGGCAAAGCTTGCACCCCCGAGCTATACCATGTCCTGTAACCATATGCAAGACACAGCACTGTCAGTGAGCACGTGGTTGCCAAAGTAGTGGAGCAGATACTGAATACAGCACGGCAGGGACGCCGTGAAAGAAAATGTGTTCTGGGAGAGACCCAGCTAATCGACGAAGGAAGGGCCAGGATGGTTTTCCAGGGGAACTCACTGGGACATAACCCTCCTAGTTTTCTCAGTCTTGTTGGGATGTGGACCAGTCCTTGATGGGTTGGGCTCAACTGCAGAGGGCCCTGAATAACAGGTTAGGCAGTGTCGTTTATTCTGGGGACATGAGTGGTTGATCCTGTCAGTCAAACGGCATACATGCTATGACACAGTTCTTGCCACTAGCACCATGCCAGAGGTCTCCTAAGTGGAAGACACCCAGCTTCTCCCGCAGGGGCATTGTCTCTGCCCAGATTCCTGCACGGTCGTGGACCAGGGACCAGTGCTTCCGAGTGGTAGGACATAGGACAGGCAAGTTTGGGCAAAAGACAGTGTTGGAAGTCTAGGGCCTGGATTAGTTTCCTATTGCTCTGTAGCAAACATCCACCAACAGTGCGTGTAAGCAACACACATTTATTTCTTACAACTCTGGAGATCAGAAGGCCAAAATGAGTCCTCCAGAGCCAACAATAAGGCTGGCTCCTCCTGGAGTCTCTTAGAGGCCACCTACATGCCTTGGCTTGTGGTCCCCTTCGTCTGTCTTTGAAGACAGTAGGATGCCATTGTCTCTTCCCTCTGACTGCCTTTTCCCCTCTTGTAAGCACCCTGTGGCTGCCCCTAGCCCGTAGGGTATCCCAGGATCGTGTCCCCTCCTGTCCCCACATGCATGTCCTCTCCTCACTGTCCTGAGCAGGCATCAGGGCAGCAGCTGCAGCCGCAGGCACAGAAGTGCAGGGCTCAGTGAGCCGCCTTCTGGGCGCAACGAACTGAAACAGTCCCCGACCTCCTTTGCACCAAGGGGCCAGTTTCCTGGAACACAGTTTTCCCACAGGTGGGACAGGGCGGGGCAGTGGTTTTGGGATTCGCTCTTCGTAAGGAGCATGCAATTTCAGTCCCTCACATACGGTTCACAGTCGGGATCCTGCTTCCGTGAGAACTTAGGCGCTGCTGATCAGAAAGGAGCTGAGCTCAGGCCGAGATTGGGAGCAGACGGCAGCACAGGTGCTGACCCCAAGGTGAGAGTCAGTACCGGGTCTCCTGACCCCAACTCCAAGGCTTCTTCTCTTATAACTTTTGATTGACCCCACTGTACCTGTTCATGGGTGCTCTATGTTCTGCCCAGGGTTTTGTGGTAAGAACATTCAAAATCTTTTCTTCTAGTGCAAAAAGAAAGCCACTGCATCGTTAGTTCTATTCATCCCCTATGCAACAGAGTGAGGAGCCAGTCTCCCCACCAAATGGTACCTGCCGCCCAGTGCCTCCCAGCTGCTCCTCCCCTGTCCCCTCACCAGCCTCTGGTACGCACCCTCCTATGCTGTCAGCCTCTAGGAGATCCACCTCCTCAGATTCCACCTATGCTTGAGAGCATGTGGTATTTATCAGGCTGTGTCTGGCTTATTTCCCTTAACGTAGTGCCTTCCAGCTCCAGCTATGTTGTCAAACATGAACGGGTTCAATCCTCTTTATGACTGAATAGTATTCCACTGTGTGTACACACCCCATTTTCTTGATGGACACCTGGCTTCTTCCACGTTTTGGCTATTGTGGGCAGTGCTGCGATGAACACCGGAGTGCAACTCAACACATGGATTGTGTTTCCCTTTGATATGTGCCCGGAGGGGGTTGCTGGATGGTACAGTGGTCCTATTTTCAGTTTCTAAGGACCCGCTGTGCCATTTTTCATAACGACTGTGCTAATTTACTTTCCCGAGAAAGGGTGCAAGGCTTCTCTTTTCTCCACAGCCTCACCAGCCTTGTTACCTAGCTACCAGGACTCCTTGTTTTCAGTGATCTCCATCCCAAATAATGCCTTCCATTCCCAACCTCACACCTGGCTCATGACTCACTTATGGACTCTCCGGGAGCACCAGGTGAGAACCATCACCACGCTCCACGTGACCTGCATAACCAGCAGGCTCTCCTTGCACCCCCAGGAGCAGCCACCAACACAGACCCTGCGGGTGGGCGTGGGGCTGCTGATGGATTTGGGAGGCCATTTTGGAAAGCGGTTACTGCATACTTGCTTTGATGAGCAGGGCTTCTCCTTCCTCCTGTCTGTCTTCTGCTCACTCACTGTAGACGTACTCGCCAGGATTCTCAGCGTCTGTGCGGATGGTGGCCTCCTTCCTGGGCTGAGCTGGGCAGTGCTGCCCTCGCCGCGGCTCGGGGAGCTTCCTGGGTGGACCTTCCACTCTGGGAAGATCAGCTGGCGGCTGAGGAAAGCTGGATTCTAATGGAGACACAGCCAGACCCAGGAGGGAGGAGCCTTTCAGGGGGCGCAGGGCTGGGAAAGGTGCTCGCGGCCAGCGTCAGCGCGTGGAACAGGTTAGTCCTGGTGGTGGTGGAGAGCTGAGGAGCTCGAATCTCCTTTATCTCTATTCTTGTGCATACCGCCATGCAAATATTAAGTACGGAAAAAGTTAAAAGAAAAACACCAAAATGTTTAAGACAGCTTAACTGCCCAGGAGGAGGGGATCAGTTCAATCAACTGTGTAACAGTGTTGCCAGTACCCAATGTATCAAGTGAAAAGATCAGGTTGCAAAACAATGCACAAGGTGGAATCACATTGTGTACACACGTGTCTGTAACTATATAATTATGTTACGTTTAGACGTGCATAGAGAAAAGATACGAGATACAAGGTAGACACGAACTCAGGCTCTTGTTATATTTAGATAGTGAAAAACACTGAAGACTTTTATTTACTTGTTTTGGTGTTCTAAATTTTCAAGCCTGGTCAGGTAGAACTTGTGTCAGGAAAACCCATCCATCGCATTTTGGGGTAGCAGTTTGCCAAAGGCAAACTGGTGCAGTGTGCCACCCGCCCATCCCCATGGGACACCTTAGGGACAGTGAGGGGGACTCGCCCCAGAGGCAGCCCGTGTGAGTCCACCTGGGGATGAACATACACCCTAGGGTCACCTGCACAGCAGCAGATGCATCCCCCCAAGGCCACCCCAAAGGTAGCCAGCCACACCTGCTGTGGGCGGAAGTCTGTGCCACCCTCCCTCCCCTTCACATGGTGAAAGCTAATCCCCAGTGGGATGGTATTGGGAGGAGGGGCCTGGGAGGATAACTGGGTCAGAGGGTGGTTCTCGGGGTTTCATAATCCTCATGAATAGGACTCACATCCCGGTCGCATGAGGACACCAGGATGGAGGCGTTCTGCAAACCAGGAGGCAGAGGACACCCGGTACTGGCTCTGCCGGCACCTTGATCTTGGGCTTGCTGTCTCTATACTGTGAGAAACAAATGATCAAGTCACCCAGTGTAAGGCACGAGCTGACGCATACCCTATAGAACAAGTATAAGAAACCGCGCGTTTGGGGGGAGGTTTGACGAACACCCCACAGACCAAGAATCCGAAACCGTGTGGGGAGGGTTAATGCCAAGGTCAGGACGAGATGGCTCAGAGGGCCTAGCAGTCTCCAGTGGTGCTGGCAGCACGGCATTTATGCAGGATCTATTAGAACAGGGTGGTGCAGCACCAGGTTTGTTTGTCCCTTTCTCCGTTTGACTCAGGTGGGAAACATTTGACAACCTCACCTGGTCCCCGGCGGGGCTGCTCCGTGTCGCCCGGGCTGTCTGGGCCGGTGCGTAGCCCATCCCCTAAGCGTGCAGACGGAGACGTGCGCAGGCGGCTGTGACCAGGCCGTGGCTGGACTGCTCCCTGCACCAGGCAGAGCTTTGCTCCAAAGCAGGGCACTGCCAGGGAGTCTGGCACTTGGCTCCCAGTGTGGGCTGGGACAGAAGCCATCCAGAAACATGACACAAAAATAGAACTGCTCTGGACAGCCAGGAGGAAGGGGCCGCACTCCTTGCTGGGAAGACTCTGAAACAGGAGCAGGGCTCGTTGATCTGAGAGGAGAGAAGGACGCAGCCCAGGGTGCGGGCAGGCGTTGGTACCTGCCCCATACCTGAAGGGCCCGAGCACAGTGGGCGGCTACTGTTCTTCTCCCTACCTGGCACTGTGCCCCTGGGTAAGCCCTGGGATGGGCTTTGCCTCCCTGAGTACAGTATGGTGGGGAGCGCAAGTTCTGGATGCATTGGGCGATGACTGCAAAAGCAGCTGAGCAAAGGCTTTAGGAAGTTAAACAGCAAGATGCATTCATGTGATGGAGTACTGAGAGGGCACGTTCAGGGACTCTGAAAGTAATCTGATTACTGGGACTACTTTTTAAATGTAAGAATTCCGGTCTTTAACTCTAGGCTCTGAAAAATGCCACCCACAAACCCAGTGACAGAACGTCTCTCCCCGCTCCTGCCTCCAACTCCGTCCTCCGCAACACCAGCGCCCCCACCGCAGGGTTAAGCCTATTTTTATCTTTTCTGGTTTGTAATACTGTACTTCATTGATCATTCTCTTAAGCCTCAATAAAAGGCTTGTCCTCCTGCTTCGTGCTTTATGAGTGCTATATAAAATATACTGGCTTCCTGATAGGAAAGATGGAGGCGGTGATTACCTCCCGCCTCGCCTGCGTTCTCCACCCTGTGCCCTGGGAGTGTCCAGATCCCATAGATCTTCTCTGTCCTTTCGGAAACACGTGTTTTCACTCCCCGTCTGCCCCACCACCTTTGCTCCGTGTCTTGACCCCCTGCCTGTCCTCTCTTCCCGGCCCCTTGGGGGGCTCTGGCCAACTTTGTGTCTAATAAAGTAGATTCCATTGCTTCGGCAGGGGCTGACCGCACGTGTCACTGCACTGCTTGGGATCGGTGCATATCGCCTTGCCTGTGATCTCACTTCGGACGGCTCAGGGAAGGCATTCCCAGCATCAAGAGCTAACTGAAAGCCCGGTGCAGCGGCAGGGGTCCATAGTCCCTGCTACTCAGGAAGTGGAGGGGAGGACTGGGCAGCATAGCAGAACCCTGTCTCTGAAAAAAAAAAAAAAAAGCACAAATGGGTGCGTCCATTTTTCACTCCATCCACAGCTGAAACTCATATCGCATTTTAGTTTGCTGTCGAAACTTCTGTTATATTTTTTTCTCTGCAGCTTTTGTCTGTCCTCCTCTGGTTACCAGAATAACAACGTGCCTCTGCACCTTCCCACCTTTCTGTTCCCAGGGCCTCCTCTCCTGCTGGCTTCTGCCCCCGTCGGGCCGCTCCCCCAGCCCAGAGCCTGCACGTAGCGCCTGGACTCCCCTTATCACCTCGGTGGTCACTCGGGAGTCAAAACCCATATCTTCCTCGCTTTGCTGGAGTGCATCCTCCAGGAATGGCCCCAGAAAGGAGCATAGGAGGTGGGCTTTGTTTTTACCTATCCTGTCTGTAGCCTTGGAGGTCTGAAAACATTCTTCTGCGCCATACTTGGTTGGGGATCTGGCCCAGTAGAGAACACTAAGTTCAACATCACTTCTCAGTCACCTTGCGCTCATCACCACAGGTGCGAAGGCCAGCGCGCTGTTGTTCTCAGCCCGCGAGGCGATCGTTTCACGTTTGCCCTCTGCATCTGTCACGTGCCCGGCGGCCTGCCCTTGCCTATACACTTTCTAAGGGCAGTCATTCATCCTCCTTCTTCCCGTGTTCTATGGGCCACTCTGGCTGATGGCTACCTCTTTGGAGCTCCAATGTTTGCTTCAAATCTTTTGTTGCTGACTTTGCTTCTTCCACATCCTTCCTTGGTGGCAACCACGGTAGTTGAAGGTGGATCTACTGAGCTGGGCTTCCCCCTTCTGTCGTTCTTTCAGGCATGGCCCTCTCTCTCTGCTCTGCTCCTGGAGGAAAAACCGGCTCCCTCACTCAGATCTCGCTGCTCCTCTGAAGCGCAGACCGCGTGTGGCATTCCACCCAAGCCTTTCCTGGCCTCTCTGTGCCCTGCGAGTCCCCACGGGCCCCTCAGCAGGGCACTGGTCCTGCCCCTTGCCGGTGCCATGACAGGGAAGGACTCCCTGTGAGCCAGGGGCTGGCGGGAGGCTGGGGAGCTGAGGGAGGGTGTGGGCCGCTGTGGGGACGCAGAGTGCTGAGAGGGGCCACGGGGAGGTGAGATACAGCGAGACGCAGAGGGGCTGTGAGCCGGGCTGTGGGGGACAGTGGGTGATGCTGTACATCATGCTCTGTGCAAGCCGTCTTGGGCCTCCAGGGACAGGGTGAGGGGATGGGGAGAACGGCTGGCGGAGGGCAGGGAAACCATGCCAGGAGGCCTTTCTAGAGCTTCCCGAGGCTCCAGGCAGTTCTCGGAATTCAGGAACTGCTTGCCTTGAGGAGTTTTCTGCAGAAACCCGGAAGGCTGAGATTCCTAGGTTGGGAGGGTGTGTGGGATGTCAGGGCCGGAGGTGGGGAGACCCCTGTGGAGGTGCAGGCCGACGACATGTCACCCCTTGGAGTCCCGCCCCGCCCCGCCCCAGCTGTCACAGCTCCCCAGTGTATTCCACTTCCAGCCCCAGGATAGCAGCAGCCCCCACGACCGTGGATCCGGCCCTGACCCATGGCTGTTTCAAGGATCCCAGCTCCCCAAAAGTGCTGGCCTGCCTCCTTCCTGCATCCCCCCCATTTCCAGCACCCCACAGGGTGGGTCTAGCCACTGTGCTGTCTTTATGGGGGGAAACGGTTTGTGAACCTCAGAGGTGGCCCCCTCAGAGATGCCTTGCTGCTGCTGTTGTTGCCACTGCCCCTGAAGTCTGTCTTTCTGACCTCGCAGAGTTCCCTGTGCCTGGCTCTGGGAATCTGGTGGATCACTGGCAGCAACCTTGTGTGACGGTGACTCCCCAGGACAGGCTCCAGGACGGGGCCCGGGGTGAACAGTGCGGGCTTGGCCTGCGCTGCCTACTTCCCTCACAGGCAGACACAGCCAAGGCGCTGTTCCCTTAGCCCTGCAATCATGTAATCCTCCGTTTCCGCCTCACCTGTGAAGCAGGCTGTTGTGGGAGTACAGGCCCACGGTGTGCCCTTGAAACAAGAACAGGAACATGGTCTCCATGGAAACACGTCTTAGTGTCAGCCTCACCTTCCAGGCCAAGCTAGCCAATGCCTGGCTCAGAAAGCACTGCCCACTGCCTCTGGCAGAGCTTTCTCTTCAGGCTGTGAGAGCAGAAGCAGCTGTAGCCGTGACCCCAAAGCACAGCAAAGTTGAGCCCAGTCAGGAAGGGGAGGAGCAAAGGAGCTTAGGAGACCCAGAGGCAGCGGGCGCTGGGAGGGGCTGGACCGCCCACGTGCCCAGAGATCCCAGGGGCCAGGAGGTGACACGCAGGAACCGAGCAATGGGAATGGGTGCTGGCGTTCGGGGAAGGCCTCTCAGTTGTAGCATTTGAGCTGAGGCCTGCAGGGAGTGAGGAGCAGACTTCAGCGCCTGCCTCAGCAAGTGGCTACCAAGGTCCCAGCAACCAGGAAGCTGCCAGGAGGCCCCGTGGCTCTCCGGGAGGGGCTGGCAGGAAGGCAGGGGCCAGAGTTCAAGCAGAGAAGCAGATGCCAACATCCAGGAGGAGCTGCATGGTTTTGGAAAC